GCCTTAACCACCAGGCCACCACTGCCTCAAAAATAAGAATAACTGCGTCAAATCAAACAGTATCAGTAACCAGTAATGTACTGTAACTAGTAATAAATACTCAACAACAACAACATCACCGTCACTGTTGATAATGATCAGGATTTGTTTGAAGTCATTGCCCCCTGATTAGTTGTGTTAGCAGCAGATACGCTGTCAACAGGCTGGGTCAACAGGCTGCCCCCAGCAGGCGCCAAGCATGTGGTTCCTCTGGGAATCGAACGCTGCTTCACTCTGCTTCAGAGGCAGATGTGCTAACCGCCACACTATGGAACCGTATTAGCATATATTTCACACATTAGCACAAAGTCAAACATCCTATCAGCTGAGTGTCACAAAGTTACACCCCCCCCCCCCCCCCCCCCCCCCCCCCCCCACATCACCGTAGCTCAAATCTGTCACAGTCATTAGGTTTAAACTGTGGAGTTTACTAAAACAATGTTGGAGTAAAATAGCGTGACAGATTTTTCAGTTCCTCCTGACAGTAAAAGTCTAGGGGTCAGACTTTAGTCGGTCAGAATCAGTTTCTCCTGAGGTCATCATGTGGTCGTCAGCTGCCACGTATCACGCAGTACAGTTGGAGCAGCTGCTCCGAGTTCCTGCTGGCACTCAGTGTACTCTGTACTGTGTACTGTGTACTGTGTACTGTGTACTGTGTGGTACCAGAACCTGTGGCGCTGTGTCCACTGTTTTTTACTGAGTTGTCTTTTTTAATGTATTTGAACAAACACTCCACTTTTTAAGGTTAAGTTTGTAACATTTTTTTATTTTTTTTTTTCTCTGATCCAGTAGCATCCAACACCCTGCCATCGTGTACAGTAAATCGTTACAATGTGACAACAGAAGCCATTGGCTTCTAAATAATTTCCATTTTGGGTGTTTTGCTGTCTATTTTTTTTTCTAATTTTAAATTTCATATGTTATGCTCTAACAGGCAGCAAATCCAACTACATTACACTAAAATGATTGCTCTTTGAACTTGTCAGGTGGCAGTATGTGGTGCAATGCTGTAGGTCTTGGGTTCAAATCCACCTACCTTAATAAATAAATGATTATTAGTAGTATTAATCACAATTTTACTTTTGATCTTTTACCTTAATTTATTGGTTCTTGACTCGCTTTAGTACATTTTTAAATGCTTCTTTATATGTATTTGTTTTGTACGCTACTTTTTTCTCTGCCTTACATTTGTCTTTTTTATAACCTTAACTATCTCTGTAACGGCATCTTAATTCATCCTTTGTGTTTAAAAAGTGAGTATTGAGTAAAACAACACTTTTTTTACACCTCAGTAAATAAAAGAAAAATACAACAAAAAACTCTCTTTTGCACCTGTTTGGTGCCGTATGTCATAACCACCACTAGGGGTCAGTATTAGACCGCCGTACGGTCGACCCTGCCTTTCTACTGCTGATAAATGCACAGCAGTCTCACGGATAATGTTCTAATGCTGATGTTCTTTTATTTGTTCTCTTTTCCACCAGTCCTTGCTCCAAAAGCCAATGCGTTCGTGAAAAGCCTCCGTAAGCTGCCTATTCTCCACGATGAGACCTACGCTCAGCAGACCTGTATGTTTGACTACTATTCGTCAGAGAACACCCTGGTGCTGCCGTAAGTGCCCCCGCAGGCTGATCTGCTCTTTACACACTCTGGAAGAGTGTGCGGGTCACGTTCTAATCTCATTTCTTTTGGTGCTTTTTCTTTCTTTTCTTTTATAAACATCATTATATAAAACAAATCTCAGAATTCCTTGTCATAAAATCCTAATGAACCATTGCTCTTTAACTTTATCTTTAACTTTATCACCAACTAAACAGCAACATTACTGCATGTGGGAATAAACAGTAATGAATCAACAGTATTTAATACAGGAGTTTTAAAGCATTTATTAAAGTGTCTTACTTGGTTTCATGCACCAGAAACGGGAATTAAACAGATCATTTAGGAATGTTGTTTTCATTAACAACTAATCGTGGGGAGTCTTAATCACGATTAAACGCCGAACAAGATTAGAGCTGAATGTGGGGAACGATGCAAAAGGAAAATCAACCCCTACATTGACTCACCGAGGCTGATTAAGACGAAATCCTGTCACAGATGATTTTCGAGTTTTTCTTTTATTACAAACGACAACTTCCGAGAAGTTGGTACATTTTCTGTAAATGCAATGAAGCTCGTATCTGTGGTTTGACAATAGCAGGAAAAGAGGAAAAATATGTATATTTTTTTCTTTTAGAACATTTTTAAACAACCCCTGCAATATATTCTTTAACATCACATAATCTCCGTAACTTGTAACAGTTTAGCGTAGATTAGGGAAAAAACAAGTGAGCTACCAGCAAGGGCTTGATCTTTACAAAACAAGATTATTTTTGTCACGTGCAAATTTTACATGCTTGAGACTTTTTACTTTCTTTTTTTGAGCCATGGTTTATATTTTTCATTAGAAAAAAGTCCCAAGATGTACGACTAAACAGAAATGTCTCCAAATGCAGAAACAATAAAAATACAATGATCTTCTGGTTTTTAATTTACTCACAATTTACTTATTCAGTCTGAAATTGGTGCCTGTTTAGTTGAACACGACAATGATCTACTTGCAGGAATTGAAGAAAGAAAAAAGAAAAATTTGTATATGTTTTAGTGTAAATACAATAATCAGAAGAAACAATACGTCATGCAGTAAAATGTATTTTTCACGAAACGTCTTAAATACAATAATCAGAAGAAACAATACATCATGCAGTAAAATGTATTTTTTACGAAACGCCTCTCTGTCTTTGTGCTTAAAAAAAAAAAGATTCAGGCGACGTATTAAACCACAGATTTTGTTTTTATTGCATTTTTGGACCAAGTACCATTTTTGAGGAAATTGTGGTTTATTATCTTATTCCCAAAAGCCACAGACTGAAACATCTCACTCATCTGTGAACTGTTTTTATTGCTTTACAGAAAGACGACGTCCGTTTCGGAACTCCAGTGTACTAGGTGCTGTCAGCGCTGCATGTGCACACACACACTGTTTGAGAATGGTTTGAACATGTATTGTCCTGAAATGTCAGATCTTGGATCACAAGGAGAAAAAAAACATACAGTAGACGCCAACGTGGCCTTTGTTTGCCAGGAGGAGAGAGAAGCAGGAAGGCTACAGGGGCACAGTCTGTAAAATGCTTGAAGTAGTTTTGTGTCTTTTACTCCGTGTCTGTAATGTCATCTCCGTCACAAACCAGCTGCCGCCGTGTCAGCATGAGGTTAAATTCTGCAGCGATGGCCTTATGCTTGTTGGAGGTTCGGTTGGTGGGGAAAAAAAAAGCCCTCGTCTGCCGCTGACACAAGCGAGGTGGATTTGCTCGGTTGCACGTTTGATTCCGCACACTCTTATTGCCTGGGCCCTGTGCTGTGGAGCGGTGAGAGTGGAGCCCCGTGCGAGTGGGCTCCCAGCTGATCCACACTCTCCGCAGGGTCTTCATTAGAGATAGTGGGGACACCCTCTGCCACAAGCATACGTTCAATCCCCAAAATTTCCATACCCCCTTCGTGCAATCTGCCGCTGTGAGGCAGCTGAGCAGCAGGGTGGACCAGGACGTGTGGAGAAGATAAGGAAGCCCTGCAGCAGCTGTGTTCCTCTCCTTTAACCTGGAGGGAGAGGGGTTTTTTCCCGAGCAGTTATGGATAAATTTGGGCATTACAAATTTTCTCCAGCTAAGTGTGTTATGATTGCTGACTACCTCACATCCTGGTCTTCCCCACCGCTCAGAAAAGTACATTTTTAGTAACAAACATTTGCAGATGATGATCTAGTATTCATTTTTTACTCACACACATTTTTTTAATCCTCTTTTCTCAGCATTCGTTTATTTTTGCTCTAATATACAGCACTAATTGACAGGCTGTTGATATTATGCGCTCACTTCACCTGTGCCGAGACCATGCATATGTATAGGGAATTGGTTTATTGATTTATTGAAAAGGCTCATTCATGTGATGAAGGTCACTCACCCCCAACCCTCTCTGCCTCCTCTTCAGTCCTCTTCAAAGCCTCAAGTATCCCATCAGACACACACACGCTCACTGTAATTATTCTGTGGACGTCTCAACAAGGATATGCTAATTGACCACCTTTGCTACACCTCCAGAATACACAGCCAGACTGAAATGGTTCAAACTGTGTTCTTCTTGGAGCTCATGCCCGGCATATGTTCTGGACTTGTTACCGGACTTAAGGCTAATCAGTAAAGAAGGCGTCTACCAGAACCCCCCGACCGGGAGGACCACTGGCTGCCTGCTCGTCCCCCTGCTGTTCTATTCAGCTTATAGCTCCACGTTATGTTAATGTCTACGAGGGGGATGTTGGACTTTAATTCTTTAAAAGGAAGAATGAAATGAAAGTCTTTCCTTGATTATTGAGCCAATCGTTCTGCCCGCGGGGGGCCGCAGGTTTAACTCCACTTACTGATACAATGAATACATCTGAGGCTCCCCGCCCTGGAACTGGACATTGAGAAAAAAATGGGCAAGTCAACGTATGTAGTATATATAATAATAATATATAAAGGAGTTAGATTAGCAAAACATGCTAAGACATGACTCAGCAGGTTGGAAAAGTTTTAACTGTACCGTATTTTTCAGACCAAGTTTTTATTTTTAGTTTGGCAACTTGTAATCCGAAGCAATATCATTTATGGCCACCAGAGGTCACTGTCTACACTTGTGACAACTGGACGCTAATACTACGCAATTAAAAGAATAATCACATTTAACCATAAAGATTCAATAAAAGACATAAAACAATCAAGAAAAAAACTTTCTTAAAGACTTAAAGATTTCGACGTTTGCAACTAGAAACGGTATTCAAGCAGCAGAGAAGAGAACTGCGGACTATCTGGAAATCTGGCGACTATTAATCGAGTACAACGTATAGTCTAGAAAAAACTGTATATCTTTGTGAACCCTTCAGCAGTGATATTCAGAGAAGCAGGAAACATCTTCCCAAAGTTTGTTAATTTTCATAAATGTTTTTCCCCCGATTTCATCGTAGACTTATTTGATTGGCCATGGCATATAAAGCCACATGGAGAAACACAAAAACCTATTTCCCAAACTGCATCATCATCCGTTTGGTTGTATGTTCTGTTAACTTCCAGTGAGTTCTACGGTTTTGTACAACTAAAATAAAGCCCCTTATACAGTTTTTAGGAATTTTATTAGCGCATATTAATTCTATTTTTTATCTAATGTTATTATCCAAAAACATTAATTGTTATACCTGTAGAAAAGCTAATGCTAAATTAACCGTGTGTTTGGAGTGAAACTAATGCATCGCAGTGACTAATCCACTGTTAGTAGCATTTAAATTTATTTTTTTTGCTTGAATGTTAAAACAAATAACACATTCCTATTTAAAATGCACTATAATTTAATTTGAACATGATCCCTCTGTCTTTCAGGATGAGTAAAGGAAATAAAAGAGTCGTCTATACCGTCTTGGAGTACAGCCCCCTGCTGGACTCTTCCAATATGACCACTGACGACTGGGGGAGAATTGGAAAGGACATTGAGGTGTGCACACTGTATATACACACACACACTCACACACGTCACAAACATCAGGGATCTCCAACCCCTGGTCTGTGGACCGGTACTAGTCCGTAGATATTTTGGTACTGGGCCGCTGACGACATGA